GACGAGAAGCATTGTTGTCCTGCCGTGGCAGATTCCTACCCCTCACTGTCCCGAGTGCTTCTTACTGAGAGCATGGAGGTAGGGTGGGGAGGGATTGCATGAGAGAAGAGGGGCTCTTCTCTTATTCCATGCTTGGGATAATCAGACGTGTAAAGAGTATTTTAGATGTGCACATGCCCACGCACACCGGACTCGGAGGGAGCATGGTAATCAGACTGACCATGAAACTCCAAAACACCTATAATAATAAACTAAAACTACAGCTCACTTCGTTGTGGAGATGTCATATTCTCCTAACTGTAGAATTCTATGCAATACTGTTTTAATGCAGTTTTATCCTAACGATAGACATCCACTTAGTGCATCATAAGTAAATGATGGTTTTCCATAAAAATGAAAATGTTTCAGCATAGCATATGGGAAACCACCCAGCCATAACTTGAGACATTATTAATATCTTCCTTTTGTCTCTAAAGATAAAATCAGCCAAGATTGGGCCTGATTTATGATTCATACTTAAGAAAGGGAAGATAAAATAGCTTGGCCATTATTTGGAATGAGCTGGGAAATAGTAAAGACTCTGGTTTAGAATTATATTCTGTTTTAATTTAGCTAGGAATGAGAAACTGTAGTTCATTTATTTTAATGTTTGTCCCCCCCCATTCAGTCTTATAACTCTTGTTTTCAGAATGAAATAGCATACATTTGAGAGAACTTTGCCACAAACACCATATCCTGTACATCCTGGCAACACCTAAATAGAAAATCCCCGTGTTACCCTGCAGACCACCTAGCCCTGGCCCTAAGCCTTCTTGGAAACAGCCTTATATTAATTAGAAGAATATCTTGTAACTAATAATCATACTAATGGGAGTTAGAAATACTTTGTTTATCCTCCTTAATACTGGAAAAGTCTATTTCACAATTGAAAGTAGCTTATTTTAAATGGACAGATTCCATACTCTCTGAAAACCCAAAAAACTGTTGTTCGGGCTCATCCACAGAATGATATACACTTTTAGAAACTTTATGAGACCATTTCAGTACGTTCTCTTAGTATCACATGACTCAACAGTGAAGAAAAATTAAAGGCATAAAAACAATCCTAGCGTCAATTCTGCCTTTCAAGTTTATAATTCCAAGATGTGGGAGCAATCTATCATTTTAAATACCACTGACCATGCAAAGTCCTATCACATCACATTGAAATAAAGTAGACTTCATTTAGCCCGCTTTTTTTTTTCCTGGGGTACTCAATAAAAAAAAACCTGACACACAGATAATTTTTTATAACAACATTATTCAATCTGTTTTCTCTAAGCATTCAATCTTCGGGAGTTAGCCAAAATAAGAATTAAAATGGAGTCAATTAACCAAATGTGACAGGAATAGCTCTCTACTTTCAAAGAAAAGAGGAGGGTGTGGACCCCTCTCCGCATACAGACGATAGCATAAACTCCATGGAGACCTACCCACAAGGCCTCTGCTCTTACAGAAAATGGTTGCTTCATATTCGGGGCTGACAGATACGTGGTTTCTGAACAGTCTTTTTAAAATGGCAACAGGCTGGAATCCCATTAGTAACTAAGAGAAGCTCTCCTCAGATATCCAGCCCCATATTCTTCTTTTCAGGTATTTGCAACTAAAACCACACACACAAAAAAAATTCATAAAAGCATTTATCAGTGAATACAGCTGCTCTGTGTTGCCAGGCCTGAGAAATAGAAAAGTTAGAATTAAACCAAGTATCCAGAGCCCTAAGGCAGTACCCTAACCTTTGACTTCTATTCGAGGCCAGGCGGAGGTACATAGAAGTCAACGGGATCCAAGAAGAGCTGACCTCAGATTGTCTCCCAGAGTAAAGAGCAAAGGGCAAAGGCTAACAAAAAAGGAAGCTGCTTTCTATTAAATGATACAGCAATGATAACATCATCTAAGGCAAAGAATCCGTTAATATGCCATCTAACTGATGTTCTTTTTAATTTGTTCACTTTTAGGAGATGATGTTTAAGTTAGGCTTAATTAAGATAGAACTCTCAAAATTACTGAGCAGTATCTTTCTCAAATGAGACAATACTAGTGACCGTGCCGCCTGAAACCTTTCAAACCACTCCCGTGAGGTTACTGTTACTTGCTCCCTTTCACCTTCATCCAATGTCCTTCTATTAAGAGGAAGAGTCTATCAGTTGGAGACGTTAAGGGGCCCACGGTACCACAGCTGCAACTGGAACGGAGCAGTCTATCAAGAGACTCTGTCGCCAGTACTCTTACGGGGAAAGAACGAAAGGGAACTTTTTAACATAGATACAATTTACTTTCAAAACTTCCTAAACAGTTTCAGTGATTCTTCCATGTTGCAGTTGCAACAACACCCATAATTTCAAAGCGTATTGAGAATACCCCTATAGAGCTCAAGAGACTGTTTAATTTATTTAAAAAAAAAACAACTAAATAAGCTCTGGCTAAGTTGAAGAAATTACACAGGAATAGACTTCAGGGTCAACATAAAGATTGTACAACAATAAAACTGGTCCAGAAATGGGAGGAAACTGGCTCAGATCCCCAACATCAGAGTCGCTCAGGTAGAAACGGAAGAGCCTCCCACTTTGAGAGTCTAAGAATCCGTGTCATGTCCTGGACCATCTTTCGCAAAACCACCAAAGAATTCTCTTACCCCTCTTTGAAGTTGCAGATTTTAAGACTGGGGAGAAATTCATTCCCAGAACCTCAATACAAGCTCATCCGGTTTTGGAATTAAATAAGTCACTTCTTCAGTAAAGAGCTGCTTTTTATCACACTCTGTCTACACTGCGAGATAGAAAGATATTTAAGGAAAGCACTTCTCTCTAAGAACCACAGAGCTAGAGATAGACGCAGGTCTTGTATGCCTCCCTGTACATTTAAAATTATATACTGACGTCAAACTTTTGGCAAGGTACAAATGTGACAAAATTCGCTGGGTTGTAAAAGGGAATAATAAAACAGCAAAAGTGAGGCACATGCATATAGAAGGACTTGCTTTGTTGTGTTTTTCTTTTTTTTAAGAACAACAAGTATGCTTCCCCATCTAGATATGATAAAAATGTAATCTGGTATCCCATGGTGTTTCAATATAAAATATGTGAGAGGGTGATTTTTAAGGGCCCCCTAATAGCACCAACAACTTCCGTTGCTACTTCATTTATTTTTCATTTTTGTCCTCATCACAAATAGCAATCCACCTATGCTCTGAAGCATGAAGACTGCACAGGCCACTGGAATTTTACCCAATCCATGCAGTGTCCCCACAGTTGTTCTAATTCATAGATTTTCACATCATTTCAGAATATAAATATATGTCCTTCAAAACTCTGTCATTTAGGCGACTTCCATGGATGAAGTAGGTGTTTTATTTTTTAAAAAATGTACTTTTTTTCTACTTATAACACAGCTTCACAATTTCCAAATGTATCATTACAGGAAAAAAGGAAATTTCCTATTTCTGTATATATATTCTTTGGAATTTATAGAGTGTAGTGGATGAAAGACTGGTTTGTCAAAATGGCCAATTTTGGAATATTCTTTAAAGATAATGATGTTAAAGTTCCCAAGTAAGAACATGGGGACAAACACGTATATTTGTAGTTGGAGAAGCATTACTCTGCCGGGGTCTGCATCATGTGACTTTAAGGGGATCAAAGCTCAGAGGGTGATGGTGACAAACGTATAGTGTAGGACCTTCCATACAGTGTTTGTTCCCTGCACATTTTCATAACGGCCATTAGAGTAATGATTACCCCATCCTTCATTTCGACATCTCTGGAATATATTGTGACTACCCAAGGTTCCAAAGTACATCCATTTTCTCACCTGATGTCATTTTGCTTGATAAAGAATTTTAATTACCCAAAGTTAAATAACAATAGCACATGATCTTGTATGGGTTCAGGCTCATTCTCGGTCTCCACTTTCCTTCATGTCTCATGGAACTCAATCAATTGTCTGGTATTTGATCTTTTTTATGGGAGCCAGTCACTGAAATTATGCCAAAGGGTGACTAGGAATGGACTCTAAGCTCGGTTAACTAGACGGTAGTCTCAAAAAAGACAAAGTCATTCAAAGAAGAAAAAATTGTATCAGATGCCGTGTAAATGAAAAGGACACAAATTCAACAACTCCTACATACCAAGCGCACGTAGATGAATTTATTTGCCCCAACAAATCCTTGGTGCTGGTGTTACTGTCTTCACCTGGTCAGATGCTGCCGCTGAAGCTCAGATGGAAAAGGAGCCCATCATTCTCTCCTCCCCAAATCCATGCTCCTTTCATGTGCTGCCTTCTTTCTCTCCAGAGATACCAGAATCCATACTTTAGAGGTACATTATGAAAGAAAACAGCTCTGTCTTACCTGTGATTCCCTGTTTTGAAAAAATAAAGTACCTAGTTTCCAATAATATCCCATTTCCCCAACTTTCCTAACCCTCCCCTTTTATGACCCCTTAGGTTTGGTTTCTTTTTTTTTTCATTTTTGCAGTAATTCTTGTTAATACCAAATTTAGTACTGCCCCCAACATGGTGTTGGCTTGTAGCACTATCAGTTTGCCCTCAAAAACACCAGGAACATCAACGAAATGGGTTGAGAACACCACAGCATGCCTCTGTCTTTTTAAGGAGCTCTAGGTGCACCCCCACCATATGCTCTCCATGATTCACGACAGCGGATGAAAATTACCTGCATAATGCGATTGCAGGAATTCCTCTGCTCTACATCAGGCTTCAGTTCATTGGAGCTCTGACAAAATAGACTGATGAGAGTATTGTCCCTCTTACACAGTGAATGTTCATTCCCCTTTGGCTTAATCCTTAAAATGAATTTTAAGCTCATTTCAATGAACGCCCCAGTGTATCAGACAGTTGGTAGTGTCTTGTGAGACCTGAGGAAAGGGTTGGCCAGAACTGAACTTGACTTTAATACAAGACCATGTTCTATTATTGTTTAACTTTGGGTATTTCTCCCCTAGGAGGAGGACAGAGGAGAACTAACCAGCTCCAGGACCAAGGTAAGAGGGGAGTTTTCTTTCAAAAGAATGGGTTCCATCCATTTGAAGGAAACCCCTCCCCCACCTATTTTTCAATCCCTTTTTCTTTGTACATTTATATTTTTTAACCCACGCCTTAGGAAACCAGCTTGCCACTTGTGCGTAGTAGTGACTTGAACATCCCCTTACAAATGTTATAGCAGGAAAAAGTAAACACCGTCACACAAGTCATATCAGTTATATGATAATGCGTTTGTGTTTTCCATCATCATTAAATATCAGTGCCGGTCTTCCATTAAGGATCAGTCTCTTGCATAGGCCTTAAGGAATTGCCATCAGCTGTTAATTTCTCTGTGTAGAATATGGATGGTAACTGATAATCAAACCATAATGGGTAATGGGGTTACAAAAATATTAAAATCTGAAGTGTTTCTGTAGAAAATACATTATTCTTTATTTAAAAAAAGAATTTTTTTATTAAAAGTAGCTGATAGAATGTAAATGATATGTAATTTGGAATATGCACAGGTTGGACTCTGGGTGTGCAGCACTATAGACTTGATGAGATGTTTAAGGTGCCATATGAAACCGGGCACCAGATAGAAAAGGGAGGAAGGGGAGTTGACCCTGTCCTGAGCAGTGTTTCTCTGTGCTTAGCCTTCCCGGGCATCGCTCCCAAGCGGTTTCCCATTGTTACCGCTCACCTTCTGTGTTGTTGTCCCTGGAAGTCATCAGTATTCCCTGCTTTTGGTACTGTGTCACATTGGTCCTTCCGTTGGTTCTTCCAGGGGGGAGAAATCCCAGGCAAGAGAGAGAACCTAAAAGCATCCAGAATTTGAGATATTAGAAGAAAGGTGGAATCCAGCAGGGTGGGGGGGCACGAAGGGACAGCGTCCGGACCCTCTGCAGCAACCCTTCTGTTGTCCCTGCCCTCCAAGGAGGCCAGGTCTTGTGATTCAAGTAGATTTTAGGGAAGCTTGAGGCTCGACGACTGAGCTACTTGAGGCTCAAGAAGAAGAGAATCCTAGGAAGCAGGGGAAGGGTGCATAAAGAAGGCGAATTCAGGCCATTTGTTGCCAGTAAACATCGTCTTTCAGAAACACGGTTCTGGGAGTTGTTACCAGCGTGTTTAGAATCACCTTCAGGTTGGATTGTCAGGGTTTATTTAATGAAAGAAAATCACTTCAGACGGATCTGTTTTTGTGGGAGACTGTTGTCTTAGGATCAGGATCCACAGTAGCCACGCGACTAGGAACGTCCGTGAGGGGACGCGCATGAGTTGGGAACTTGATTTTAATGCCAAAAAACGCAAGTTTTGTAGATACTGCTATTGCTAGTGGTCACCAAGCACAGAAACCTAAGCGCTGGACTTTTAGCAGATCATGCATTTTGTTGTCAGAAGTCAGACAGAACCTAATTTTTACGTTCTCACTCCCTGCCTCCCTCAGTGAAAGGCACGGGATATATTGGAGGCACATGATTCATTCCTGCATTTTAAGATGCCGGGTGTATGGTTCGCCTAAGCAGCCACACACAGTGTTGTTCCGAGAACCGTGTACTGTGAGAATTTGGTGTCCACTCCGACATATGGTCTGTCAGGCAGATCTGTTTGATCTGAATTTTATGAAATCGTTCAGGTGATCTCGTTCAGGGGAAGAATTGGGGGTCGTTCTGCAGTGAATCAGTTCTGTTCGGTAACCTGAACTTGAGATGAAACACCATTTTCAGGGGTTTGTTTTTGTTTTTTTGGCTTTGTCTCATTGCTCTGTAAAGTGAAAAATACTGATCTCATTAATTGCATTCAGTTTATTAGGTATATGAAAAATAGTGAATGGAAGCACCCAGGCTGGTAGCTTAAGAAATAACCCAAGTACTTCTGACCAGAAGCAAGTAACTGAAGGGCTGTGTGCTGTGTTCTAGTATTAACACCACTTGAAGCAAATGTAGGTGAACATATTTTCAGAATTTACGCTTTTGGGGTTTTTTTCCCATTTAAATTATTTAAGAAAAATAAATGAGAGACAATATTTCTGTTTTGAAATGTGGCTGTGAGCCCTGCTGCCAGCAAAGATAAGCAACTTTGTGTTTCCCTTTGAAGGGCATAAACTGAAAAGCTGTAAAGACACACAGAATTCTTCGGGTTTGGTTATTTTCAGAGAATAACAGAAGAGCCACCGGTGCTCCTACTTAGGAGGTTCACACAGCTTCTTCAAGTTCCCATTAGCTTAGAATCCCTTCTCCTGGAAGCCCTGTTTTTATCACTCTTTCTATTTATGCTGTTCTCCCACCTCACCAAAATCCACGCCAAAAGTTAGGGTAGATGAAACAAGAGCAATTAAAGACATTTTAAGTTCTATCCAAATACTAGGCTACTGTGAGGGAATCTGGCACCCTGAAAGAGAAATTGAAACTTTTTAAAGAATTTGGTGGAAAATTTAAAGTATTTGTAGATAAAGATTTACTAGACATATTTAGTGAATTAAGTGCATATTTAAATACACAATAAAATAAATCTTAATCAGGTTAAACCAGACATAGCGTTGGCCTTTAATATCTGATGACAAATGTAATTAATTTTTCTGATGTACTGAATTATACTGTTCTCAGCAGTAAATTTAGCAACAGAAGAATTTTATAAAAAGGACATGTTTTATTTGCTACTGTTAAATAGGTTAGAACAAAATGATAAGAATACCATTATCTAGGATTTAGTTGTGTCTGATTTCACCTGATACAACAAGCTTGTATCTGATTTTATCAGTTCGTATTTCTTCCTTGCCCTACTGCACAAACTGATCTTTAACCATCTGTAATCTCACTGAAATGTCATCTTAGATATTTGTTTATATGACGGACAAAATCGTTTGCCATCATTCATAAAAATCGCTAGTGTTAGTAATTCTTTTTGTCCCTCTTGCCAATATTTAATAGACAGTCCGGGAGCCCTTTTGCTTTGTTTTGTTTTATTTTGTTTTGCTTTAAAATCCTCTCCATAGCAGATCTTCCCAAAATCCATTAGGTGGCACAGTCGATGGTTCAGGCACAAGATTCTTTCATTTTAATGGGCTGCTTAAAAAGTAGCACCTTAAATTAATCAAGGAGATATCAGCCCTCCAGATAGTTATTGCATGGCTTCTGTAGTTCTCGCCCTGCCTTGGGACTGAGGATGGTGTAAAATACCGTAAAACAGAGTCGCTGTGCTCTACGGGAAAAGACCGTACAGAGACATCAACACTGTGAAGTGATGTGGGACTCCAAGTAATTGGGAGCACTCCAGACAATAGATAATTTAAAGAAGAAGGAGATCACTGGAGTCTTAGAGTATCTGGGAGAGACCTCATAAAAAAGGTTCACATGTACTAGTTGATAAATATTAGTTGAATGAATAAGTCCATGAGTGATTATTGGAAAATGGAAAGAACTTTAGAAAAGCTTAGGGGGAAAAAAGAAATTTCTGGTGAAGGTTCTGTCATAAGACTGGAATCGACTGTGAATAAAATGTCTTTGGGACTCTAAGGACTCTAGCCTGGAGGAGGCAGAGAAGGTCTATTTGGGGAATTAGGGTGGTTAAGAGGCTGGGCTTCTGTGGTGGAAGGATCCAGGTTCCAATCCCGCCTTTGCCATTTACCGGCCATGTGGGTTCAGTAAGGACTCAGTGAGAATGTGAAGAACTTGGGACAGAGCCTGGCTCAATCAAATGTAATCAAGTTATACTTTAAAGGTATACATATAAGCTGAATTGTTAGGAAGCTTTGAATGTCAGGAAAATTAGAACAGAGTCATATCTTGGAGGCAGTCATGAGTCCCCAAAGGTTTCCAACAAAGCGGTGTAAAGAAGCAGAGAAGCATGTAGCTATTCTGGCTCCAGGTAGCTGAGAACAGATGGAGAGAGTCCGTGGGTCTTGTCTCAGGTGACAGAGGCTTTGACTCAGCTGTTACCTGTATAATAGAAATGAACATATAAATTTAAGAGACAACTTTTCAGAAAAAAAAGGTTCTTAATGGCTACTTGGCTGTAGGAAAGGAGTGGGAAATTCGAAGATGAGACAGTTTCTGTGATTGGGCTTTGTTATTATTTGTGTTTACCTTTCTACTTCTGTGAAGCATTTTCTGCTCCATTATACTGAAGCTTCTTTATAATAACGTGTTTGGGATCCCTCATTACCTGTCCTAAAAGATCAGAACTTAAGTCATTAGGAACCTAGTATGTATAAAAATAGACCTGTCTTATTCCAACCTTAGAAAGGAACAAGTATCACCATCTAATCAAATCAAGTCAACATAAAGTTTATTGGTACAGCTTTTTAAGGAATGTTATCTACTATTCTTCCTTCTTGGATATTTAGGAAGGATCAGTTTCAGCTGAGAAGACCCCAGGCCTCTGAAGTCTTATCTCAAGAAGTATTTAGCCAGAGGGGATAGAAGTTGCAGGGAATATATCAGTCAAAGCTTAATGAGGGATCACCCCCAGCAAGCCTCATGAATGGGGTGGGGGGTAGAAATTCCCCCTTGGAGAGCCATAGTAGGGAGGAATACTTAGTTTAGCTACACAGGAAAGGGACCCACAGAAAGCAGTGATCCTAGCACTGTGGGAAAGAGCACTAGGCCAGGAGGCAGCAGACCTCCATCCCGGCTGGGTCTTGGTGAGCAAGGCGCCTAACTTTCCTTAGACCCCAGTGACTACAACCGTCAGATGAGATGGTTTGAGACACCCTCTGATCCCCACTGTGACTCAAAAATGCTATGATTCTAGTTCTTTAAGGCAGTTGATGGAAGTTTTTAACAATGAGCAAAGGAAGGAAAAAGGAAACTCGGTTGTCAAGCATTCTGGAAACCCTATAAAGAGAATAAGGAGCGTGGCCTAAGAGAAGGAATCCAGAGCAGTCAGGGACAGCGCAGAGACCACCCAGCAAATCTGCGTGAAAATCCCAGTGCTGCTCGACAGCTCACACGCAGTGAACGGTGAGCCACCAGCTCTGCGACTTCTGAAATCGTACTTTAGCTTAATGACAATCCCTTAA